ATCATCCTCATCATCATCATCATCATCATCATCATCATCATCATCATCATCATCATCATCATCATCATCATCATCATCATCATCATCCTTCTCCTCCTCCTACTCCTCCTGATGTTTCTCCCCCTCATCCTCCCACTCCTCATGTTTCTTCTCATCGTACCGTTCACTGGGCTGCAGGGGGCCACCCCTGCGCGCCACAGCTGGTCACTCCGAGCTGTTCTTTGCTCGCTCCCACCGTGCGGGAGGCCGGCGCCACCTCAGTGCGGGTGGCGCCTCTTTCTACTGCGACAGACACTTTCTCCGTGCCCAATCCAAGTCGTGCCCGACCGGAGCAGCGGGAGTTGCACCCAGAAGCACAGGACCGACCAGCTGCCGCACACGAGCGCTGAGAGAGGGCGTCGCTGCCACTCGGCGCCGCTCCAGCGGGGACGCCCGTGGGGGCGGCGCTGCCTCGAGCCTGCACGAACTGGGCTGGCCGACGCGGCTCTCTCTCTCTCTCTCTCTCTCTTTTTCTCTCTCTCTCTCTCTCTTTCTCTCTCTTTCTCTCTCTATTTATATATATACACGTATACATATATATATATATACATACATACATACATACATACATACATACATACATACATACGTACAGATCCATATATCTCTATATATGTATATACATATATATATATATATATATAAATGTGCTTTCGGACGTCTGCGAGTGGGCACTTTGCGAGTAGTGAAACGCTTTCGGTGACTCTCTCTATCCCTCTCTTTCTCTCTCTCTCTCTCTCTCTCTCTCTCTCTCCCTCGCCCGCTCGGCAGCCTGCCTGCCGGGCGAGAGGACGGGGTCGAGGGCCACCTGCCTCCGACGTGCCGCGTCGCCAGGGGAACGCGAGAGGGCGCCTGCGGGGCAGGGAGGGGGGGGCGCCCCAGCTCGCTTTCGGCACCTCCTTCGCAGCCTCGGGCACCTGGCCGACGACGGGGTCGGGGGCTTCGGGCCGTCCGCAGGTGCGAGAGGGCCTCTGGCGAGCTGTACCGCGCGGGCGCCACTGCGAGGCAGGTCCTCCTGAGGCGTCGGCGCGGTCGGCGGAAGTGGTCGTCGCCGTGGGCCGGGCGCTGCTCGAGGACGGGGCACCGGAGCCAGAGGGCAACACGCAGAGCTGCCCGGCGTGAAGGTCTGGAGCGCGGCAGGGCGGGCGGAAGCGCCGCCAGGACGGGCCCGTCGCCTGACAGCTAACACTGCGCTAGGGCTGGCGAGGTTCACGCTCACCTAAACGGTGTTTTGGCGATTTCGTGGGCCGTTTTCGTTTCGACTTCGCTTGGCGGGTTGAAGACAAAAAAACTAAGGAAAACGAAAACAAAACGAAAACGAAAAACACCGTTTAGGTTCAGTCCTGTCAGAAACCACCGCCAGGGTAGACCTCCCGAGAAGGGAAAGGGAGGAGGCGGGCAACAGACGCGCCCTAGACTACCTACGCCCAGAGGGCCCGAATGCCCACAGGCGTGACACAAGCGATGCACGAGCCTCGGCGGGCGGGCGGGCGCCGTGTCCAGAGGGCGCTCGGGCAGGGGGGGGGGCCCCGGGAGGCTCTGGCGGTGCTGCAGTCACCCTACAGGGCGGGTTTTAATACATAGGATGTTTAAAGATATGGGATTGTTAACACATGATCAAGTGTATGAATAAGTCTATGCGTGAACTCATCATTGTTTTTGATGCCAAATTCCCGCATTTTCAATGCACGATCCGCACGCGGAGCATGTATTCAAAACGGCACTGTACCATGAGGAATGCGATGTCCCACCAGCCCTTTCGGGCGTGAGTGGTCTAGGGAGGTTCTCCCCCTCATCTTCCCTCTTCCCTTGCGGGGATGGGTAAATTACCCCCTCCCCGTGGACCTGGACGGGGCGTGTCGCGAGGAGTTGGAGCGTCGCAGTGGTTCTGGCCACATTTGGGCAGCCTGGGGGGGTGGTAACTTACTGCTGCCCCTCCACTGATCCATCTCGTTCAAGATGGCCTCAAGATGGCCCCCGAGGCTCCGAAGCGTGCCCCAAGAGGTACTCGGGAGGCCCCAAAAGACCCCCAATAGGCCCCCTAGATGCTCCCAAGAGGCTCCCAAGAGACCCCCCAGACGTCCCAAGAGGCCCCCAGGACGGCCAAGAAACCTCCAAGACGCCCCAAGAGGACTCCAAGACGCTCTCGAAACACATCCGAAGAGACTCCGACGGACATCCAAGAGGCCTCTGGCCTTTCTGTTCGCCCTCCTCCTCCTCCTCCTCCTCCTCCTCCTCCTCGCCTCCTCCTCCTCCTCCGCCTCCTCCTCCTCCGCCCTCCTCCTTCTCCTCTTATTCTTATTATTATTATTACTATTGTTATTCGTCTTCTTCTTATTATTATTCTTCTTATAATTAGTATTATTAGTATTGTTCGTCTTATTATTATTGTTCGTTTTCTTATTATTAGTATTAGTTTTCTTAGTCTTATTCTTAATCGTATTAATCTTAGTATTATTCTTATTAGTATTATTAGTGGTATTAGTCGTATGATTCTTCTTTTTATTATTAATATGATTCGTCTTTATTCCTCTTCTTAGTATTATGATTATTACTATTAATATTCGTCTTCTTCTTATTAGTAGCATTCTTTTTCTTTTTAGTATTATTCTTATTCTTCTCTTTATTATTCTTATTCCCAACCATCCTGTGGTGTTGGGTCCTCGTTTTGAAGAGACGGTGCCCCGCGTTCCCCTCCTTCCTCCCCCTCCTCCTCCCTCCTCCCCCTCCTTGCCTCTGCTCTCGGCACACCTCTCACGCGTTTCGTAGCCCCATAGGGGCTCCACCGAAGGCCCCAGTGGGGGTGTTCGCATGCGGTTCCCCCACCCAGGGCAGCGTTTCGTAGCCCCATAGGGAGCTCCACCGAAGGCCCCAGTGGGGGTGTTCGCATGCGGTTCCCCACCCAGGGCAGCGTTTCGTGGCCCCATAGGGAGCTCCACCGAAGGCCCCAGTGGGGGTGTTCGCATGCGGTTCCCCCACCCAGGGCAGCGTTTCGTAGCCCCATAGGGAGCTCCACCGAAGGCCCCAGTGGGGGTGTTCGCATGCGGTCCCCCACCCAGGGCAGCGTTTCGTGGCCCCATAGGGAGCTCCACCGAAGGCCCCAGTGGGGGTGTTCGCATGCGGTTCCCCCAACCCAGGGCAGCTTCGTGGCCCCATAGGGAGCTCCACCGAAGGCCCCAGTGGGGGTGTTCGCATGCGGTTCCCCCACCCAGGGCAGCGTTTCGTGGCCCCATAGGGAGCTCCACCGAAGTCCCCAGTGGGGGTGGTCGCATGCGGTTCCCCCACCCAGGGCAGCGTTTCGTGGCCCCATAGGGAGCTCCACCGAAGGCCCCAGTGGGGGTGTTCGCATGCGGTTTCCCCACCCAGGGCAGCGTTTCGTAGCCCCATAGGGAGCTCCACCGAAGGCCCCAGTGGGGGGTTTTCGCATAGCGGTTTCCCCCCCACCAGGTCAGCGTTTGTCGTAGCCTCATAGGGAAGCTCCAACCAAGGTAGGCCCCAGTGGGGGTGTTCGCATTGCGGTTCCCCCACCCAGGGCAGCGTTTCGTGGCCCCATAGGGAGCTCCACCGAAGGCCCCAGTGGGGGTGTTCGCATGCGGTTCCCCCACCCAGGGCAGCGTTTCGTGGCCCCATAGGGAGCTCCACCGAAGGCCCCAGTGGGGGTGTTCGCAAGCGGTTCCCCCACCCAGGGCAGCGTTTCGTAGCCCCATAGGGAGCTCCACCGAAGGCCCCAGTGGGGGTGTTCGCATGCGGTTCCCCCCACCCAGGGCAGCGTTTCGTAGCCCCATTTTGGTGGGAAATGATTGAGGGAGCTCCCCGAAGGCCACCAATTGGGGGTGTTCGCATGCGGTTCCCCCACCCAGGGCAGCGTTTCGTGGCCCCATAGGGAGCTCCACCGAAGGCCCCTGTGGGGGTGTTCGCATGCGGTTCCCCCACCCAGGGCAGCGTTTCGTAGCCCCATAGGGAGCTCCACCGAAGGCCCCAGTGGGGGTGTTCGCATGCGGTTCCCCCTGCGGTTCCCCCACCCCGGGCAGCGCTTCGTGGCCCCATGGGGAGCTCCACCGAAGGCCCCAGTGGGGGTGTTCGCATGCGTTCCCCCCCCATGGCAGCGTTTCGTGGCCCCCATAGGGAGCTCCACGAAGGCCCCCAGTGGGGTGTTCGCAATGCGGTTCCCCCACCCAGGGCAGCGTTTCGTGGCCCCATAGGGAGCCCACCGAAGGCCCCAGTGGGGGTGTTTCGCATGCGGTTCCCCCACCCAGGGCAAGCGTTTTCGTGCCCCATAGGGTAGCTCCACCGAAGGCCCCAGTGGGGGTGTTCGCATGCGGTTCCCCCACCCAGGGCAGCGTTTCGTGGCCCCATAGGAGCTCCACCGAAGGCCCCAGTGGGGGTGTTCGCATGCGGTTCCCCCACCCAGGGCAGCGCTTCGTGGCCCCATAGGGAGCTCCACCGAAGGCCCCAGTGGCTGCTCTCGCATGCGGTTCCCCCACCCAGGGCAGCGTTTCGTGGCCCCATAGGGAGCTCCACCGGAGGCCCCAGTGGGTGGCTGCTCTCGCATGCGGTTCCCCCACCCAGGGCAGCGCTTCGTGGCCCCATGGGGAGCTCCACCGAAAGCCCCCGTGGCGCAGTTCGCATGCGCTTCCCCCACCCAGGGCAGCGTTTCGTGGCACCATAGGGAGCTCCACCGAAGGCCCCAGTGGCGCAGTTCGCATGCGGTTCCCCCACCCAGGGCAGCGTTTCGTAGCCCCATAGGGAGCTCCACCGAAGGCCCGCCCCGGTGGCGCAGTCCGCATGCGGTTCCCCCATCCAAGGCAGCGCTTCGTGGCCCCATATGGAGCCCCACCGAAAGCGGCACCCACAACGCGTTACCAACAATTGCTTATGGTTGGGTCTTTCGCCAGGATAATTATTATTAGTCGTCTTCTTAGTAATATGCTTATTATTCCTCCTCCTCCTCCTCTTCCCCTCCTCTTCCCCTCCTCCTCCCCTCCTCTTCCCCTCCTCTTCCTCCTCCTCCTCCTCCTCATCCTCCTCCTCCTCTCCTCCTCCTCCTCCTCCTCCTCCTCCTCCTCCTCCTCCTCCTCCTCCTCCTCCTCCTCCTCCTCCTCCTCCATTCCTTTTCCTTATACATAACTCCTCCCTGTCGCAACCCCAGGCAAGTCGGAAGGAATGGCCGGGCGTTTCGTCTGAGACGTTCTGAAACTTGAAAATTGGCAACAGTGTTGACATTGAGGGCGAGTGGTGTTCAAGATGTGGCTCTCGCCTTAGCGCCGCGCACATTCGTTTGAAAAAATGCAAGAGTTTCACGGGCTGAGGGCGGGTGGTTTTCAATATGTTGCTCTCGCCTGAGCGCCGCGCACACTCGTCTGAAAAATGTGCAACAGTTTTACTGGTTGGGGGCGGGCGGTTTTCAAAATGTGGTTCTCGCCCCAGCGCCGCGCACATTCGTCTTACAGATTTGCACGAGCTTCACTGGTTGAGGGCGGGTCGTTTTCAATATGTTGCTCTCGCATTAGCGCCGCGCACATTCGTCTCCAAACATTGCAAGAGCTTCACAGGTTGAGGGCGGGTCGTTTTCAACTGTGGCTCTTGCCTTAGCGACGCGCACATTCGTTTCATGGATTCCCATCGGTGAAATACGAAAAACGCCGTTTTGGAAAGACTCGGGATTGTCAGGGTGCAACAGTTACAGTGATTCGCGGTGGTGAAGTCCCAGGAAAGGCTTTCTGGCACGACTCAGGATCGCCAGAAAGCCACACTCATGTTGATTCGTGGCGTTGGAGTCCTGAGAATGGGATTCTGGCACGTTTCGGGATCTTCAAACGGTTGTCTCCCAACAGGGCACTGCCATCAGTGGACATGAATCCTTGTAGGGGCTTTTGAAGAAGGAGCCTGGAGGGAGAGTTGACTCCAACATATTCGATGAGTCTTGGATGTACACTGGTCCTCCTCCTCCTCCGCCGCCTCCTGCTCGTCCTCCTCATCCTCCTCCTCCTCCTCATCCTCCTCATCATCCTCCTCCTCATCATCCTCATCCTTCTCATCCTCCTTCTCCTCTTCCTCATCTGCATATTCCTCCTACTTCCTCCTCCCTCAATCCCCTCCCCCTCTCCCACCTCCTCCTCCTCCTCCTCCTCCTCCTCAGCAGCAGCAGCAGCAGCATCAGCATCAGCATCATCATCATCATCATCATCATCATCAACATCATCAACATCATCATCAGCAGCAGCATCATCAGCAGCAGCACCTTCATCATCATCAGCATCAGCATCAGCATCAGCATCATCATCATCATCATCATCATCATCATCATCATCATCATCATCATCATCATCATCATCATCAGCAGCAGCAGCAGCAGCAGCAGCATCAGCATCAGCATCAGCATCAGCATCAGCATCAGCATCATCCGCCTCCTGCTCCTGCTCCGATTCCTCCTCCATCCTCCCCCTCCCCCTCCTGCTCCTGCTCCGATTCCCCCAGCCTTTTTAGTCCGCTGCATGCTCCTCCACATCTCTGATCAAGGTAACTCGCCTGGCCGACGTGTCTAGAACGAGGCACGAAGCCACCTCTTGGCCACAGAAGCGCCAGGGTGCACGAGGCGAGCCCACTCCGAGCCCGAGGTGCTCCACATCTCGTGAAAGGGACCCTTGACCAGACCCCCGGCGGGCGCAGCCCCCCGCAAGCACTGCGGCCACGACACCCTCTCGACGGCCGAAAAACATGAAGCCCGCCGGTCGACTCGGCAGGGCCGGGTTTCGACCGACATGCGATCCCCCCCGCTCCGGGGGCGCCCTTCTCGCGCTGGCACCGCCGCGGCCCCTCTTCCCCCCGCAGCCTCGCGGAGGGACCGCACACGGCGGTGCCGCCGCTGGCCAGGGCCCCGTGCTGCACGGCGCCCGAGGCCGCCGCGCGCCGCGCACGCGGGGCGGCGGGGGGCAGCTGCGCGTGCGCGCGGGCGCAGAGCTCGCGACGAGAAGGCGCCGGTCGCCAGGGCGAGGGCGGGGATCGCGCGGGGGTCCGGGGCCCGTTCGGGGGCCCTGGATCTGGCCGAAGCCGGCGCTGTCCCCCCGAAGCGCCGGCCAAGGCAGTTCAGCCGAGCTCGGTCGGCCGACACGTCGGCCGGCGCCCGAAGTCCTCGCGGGCTGCTGCCACCATAGAGGCCTCCCAGATGGGGTCGGAGTAGTGAGTAGATGTGGTCGGAGGATCGCGCCGCATCGCCGAGACATCCGCGATACATCGTCGATGCATCGGCGATGCACCGGCGATGCACAGGCGATGCACCGCGACGTTGGCGATGCATCGGCGACGTCAGCGTGACGCAAATCGGGCTGCATCGGCGATGCATCGGCGATGCGGCGCGACCCTCCGACCCCATCTACTCCGACCCCATCTAGGAGGCCTAGACACCAGGCCTCCGCTCGCAGGTCTGGGGCGGGCGTCGGGCGAGGCGCAGGGGGTGCAGCCTCCCGCGTCGTGCCACTCAGGGTGGGGGGGTCTGCTGGCAGGTCGCGCGCGCGCGCGCGGCTTCGCACGTCCGCGCGCCCGGGGAGAAAAGTGGGGGTGCGCCTGCGGTCGCGAGGCGGGGCGCAATCCCTTCCAGCGGGCAAGGCCCGCTCTGATGCTGGTCTTGCGCCAGAGCGGCTGTGGAGATGGAGGGCGACGACGACGAGGAGAAGAGGGAGGGGGTAAGGGAGAGACGGGAGGGGGGATGAGGAGGAGAGGCAGGAGGGGGACCCTCTCCGGCTTCACGGGCTCCCAAATGTTGCGCACCATGGACACGTACGCGTCCTGGTTTGGGTGCTTATCCAGCATGCCGCCTATCTCTATGCGGGCGGAGTCGAAGGAGGCGTACTGGTCACTGGGGCAGGACACCAGTGCCACATGCTCAAAGAACTCCAGGCCCTTGCTCTTGCTCAGCTTGTACATGAAGGTCTCCCGCGGGTCCGAGTGGTCCGCCATGGAGATCTGCGACAGGCACTGCGATTGACGCCACGTCTGCAGAATCTGCAGGCCGACGTGGAAGAGCGAGAGGCTGTTCATAAAGTACCCAGCGTGCGGGGTCGAGAAGGTTAGCATTGTGTGCATATGGCTGCTATATTCGCTCAGCAGAGGCAGTGCTGCTCGAACAATGAGGCCACCCATCGAATGTGCGATGAAGCTTAGCCTGCCCAGCGCGGAGGCGGGGCACCAGTCGCTGATGTAATTTACCACCTCCTGTGCCAGTCTGATGCCCATCTCATTCACGTCCCCATCGGTGTTGTCCTCATTGGCGGAAGAGCATAAACAAATAGCTTCTGGGAAGAGAAGTGCTATATTGTTCTTCATCAACCGCATGTCGTAGGAGTTCCCTTGGAAACCATGCACCAAGACAAACAGGTGCACCCCGTCGTATTCCTTCGGAGCTGACGGCAGCAACCTCTCATTCTCGCTGGGAGCTGAGGCGCCTGCGTCACTCGTGTTCTTACTCGAGAGGGGCCGAGGCAGATAACTCTGCTCGAAGAGGACTGGGCGTTGGCTCGTGGGCGGAAACAGGGTCGTGTCCTCCACGCAGGGGCCACTCCACTCTACAGGCTGAGACGCGAGCTGCTTGCGTGTCGCCTCTGCCTGGTCGCCGTGAAGAATGCCTATATTCTTGTCGGTGGGCTCCGCAATGTTGTCGGGCATCACGTCCTTTCGGATGCACACGGCCCACCGGTCGATTATGCACTTCTCCCAGTCTATTCGTAGCAGCGCAGCGACCTCCCTGCAGACGCTGGACATGACCCCCAGCGACTGATTCCATACCTCCACGATTTGCGCAGAGACCGCGTCTATATCCTGCACGAAATGCATGGCCACCGTGCGTTCTGTCGGCGATGGCCCGAGTCTAGCTTTCAAGCTCTCCCTCAAAGCAGTTGACGCGTGTGCTGGGGCGTCGTTCGGCAGGCGACCCCCAGCTGGCATGCCCTCAGGCAGTCTCAGCTCAGGTCGGCCGAGGCAGTCTTTGAAGATCTCCTGCTGCTGCCGCGAGAGGCACCTGGCACAGATCCTCTCCAGCCAGGCCAGCTGCTTGCTGTAAGAGTCTGCCAGGGTGCCCACGTGCTTCCAGTACAACTCCTCTTAGGAGGCAACTACAGGATCAAGCCGGATTAAGCGGCATCAAGCCGGATTAAGCGGGATTAAGCGGGATTAAGCGGGACTACGCGGGATTAGGCCGGATTAAGCCGGATTAAGCCGGATTTCAGTCCAGGGCAAAATCAGAATTTGACCTCCCAGGAGTTGCATCCGAACTCCTCCACCCGCTCCAGCAGCTCCTCCGGAGAAGCTCCCACGCTGCCAAACAGTGCCTCGCCCAGCGACAGCGGGGGCTGGCACTGCTGGGACTGGCCCCGCCGCGCGGGCGTCCTCGAGACGCTCACCGGCGTGCCGAGCGGTCCGCCCGGCTGCGGGGGGCCCTCGACGCTGGCAGCAGCGCCCTTGCCGGCGGGCGGCCTCCGCCGGACCAGCAGCAGGTCCTGCGGCCGCAGCCGCGGGCGCACGTCCAGCACGGCCGTGTGGACGACCATGTTCACGAGGCAGAAGTGGTACTCGTCGAACACGATGGGGACAAACTCGTGGACACCCTTCTCCGCGTGGTGTATTCTGAGGGCAAGCGTGCTCACATTCTTGAACTCCGTGGACTCGACGTCTGGCTGCTCGCCGAACCGGTCTGCTCCACCATGTGCGGTTAGATCGGCAAACATCAGGTCGACCTCTACCACAAACGGGCCACAGTCCTCCTCGCCCGACCAGAGCTCCATCCGGAACTGGCCTATGTCATCGAGCTCCACATCTTCCTCACAATATCGAATGAGAAAACTCCGCGTGGAGAAGGTGCACATTTCATCGACGACATGTGCTGGGATCAAGTGGTGGTGGTCCGGACGGTCCGTGCGACTCGGCCTGGCCTTCGCAGCGTCCACCTGCGTTTGGCTCCGGAAGTGGCCGTATGGGGACGCGAGCAGCTGCCTGCTGCCCTCCTCCCGGTAGACGCGAGCCCTCAGATGGTACAGCCCCTGGTGGAAGAGGTCGACGTTCCTGAAGATTATTTGTTTGGTTCGCCTCTGGACGAGAAAGCTCCTGGAACCCTCGCGGGCACACACACACACACACACACACACACACACACGCGCACACACACGAATCCAAGCCAGATCTCGCCGTGGGGACGGAGGGGTGCTCCCGCGACGACAGCTAAAAAAAGGCAGACGTCTGGTCAGCCGTGCCTGAAGCTCTCGAAGTGGAGAGCCACCTCCACGACGGTCCGCAACGACATCCACTGGGGGCGCTGCGCCCGAAGACCGCAGCGCCAGGCGGTGCCAGTCACTGACAGGGGAACGCTCGGGGGAACCTGCTCAGGGGGGGGGACCAACGAGCTGGAATCTGCGACACATCGCCGATAAACTGGCGATGGGCCCCCGATAGCGAATCCGAACGCTTCTGGGCAGAATGAGCTAGCAGGCCCCTAACGGCACTTGGTAGGCAATTTGACGGTCGATGCACCCCCCCGAACCTATCCCCCCTAACGTTGCCCCTGAGCCACAGCGAGCGTGCCAAGGGCAACGGGGGCGATGGAGAGGGGCCGGCTTCCCGGCGGCCGTTCGGGACGATCCAGGCACCCGTGGAACGCTCTCGGCGAGGCGCAGCTGCTAAACACAGGGAAATGAAGATCGGAAAGCCGCCGAGATCCGACGAGAAAGCCCGAACACCTCGGACCTCGAGTCCGAAACTTGCCCCCCCCCCCCCTGACGTTGCCCCTGAGGCAGGGGGGAGGAAGGAGGCGAGGCGGGTGGTGAGGGCTGCCCGCCGGCCTGAGCCAGAAAGGCTACGGGCGAGAAGAGGCAGCACGGGCAGCGAGGAAGGGCAGCGGGCGGCGGGCGAGCCGGGCCGCGGTGGAGCCGAGCCAGGCCGGGCTGCGCGTTACGAGCCGCGCCAAGCGATCTGACGATCCCGTTGGCGCTGGCTCGCGTTCCTGCGGCTCTCTTCTCCGCTCGGCGCGCTGCCTTGTTGAATGTTCACTCTTCTCCGCTCGTCCGCTCGGTGAGCTACAGTCCAAGCAACGAGACATATACGAATCCTGTCGCCCGAACCATGTTGCATGTCGTTTTGCTCGAGAGCGCTGACTACGAGCGCGTGGCCGAGTAACCTTGCTTGTGCGTGCTGCCGTCCAGCCAGCCTTCCGAAGCCTCTTGAAATCTGGCTGTTCAGCTTTCGCGGCTGGCTTAGAAACATTACTGCTGGATATGTCCGCTTCGCACGCTGCCATATTTGTTTATTTGCACGGTTCAATTTGCGCGGCTTGCGCGCAACAGCACGGACTGTAAGATCGAATGGATCTTGACCGCACGGACCGTAAGACTGCGCGAGCACATGTTGGAGCTTTGTTTTGATTGGGGACAAGTCCAAAAACGCTGGCCAAAAGACTTGGGACAAGCTGACGCTGAGGTCATATCACAAATCTGCCGGCCCCCTCACGAGCCATCAGGCTCCGCGGCTAAGGCTTACTGGTCCCTGCTCCAGTTCCAGTTTCCAGTTTCCGATCTTACAATTATGTGCTATGTTTCCTACTGTGAATATTCAAAGTCCGCGCGAGGAGGGGGCTGAAAACCCCCCTGGTTACCTTCACCTGGAGGGGTTCTCAGAATTTCTGCAGGGTCCTGGGACACGTAAAAATATTTGATATTCGCGCCCCCGAAATTATAAGCCTTTGTAAGTTACGCCATGTTCGCGGCCCCGAGGCGTAAAGTACACGATAGTCGCGTCCCCGAGGCCACCAACCCTCTCAATTTATTATGTGTTCGCGCTCCCGAAACCATAATTCCGATTTAATTGCGCAATACTCGCGTCTCCGAGGCAACACGCTCTCGTAGTTTACACCACGTCTGCGTCCCCGAAGCCACGATCCTTCGTAAAGTACGCCTTCGTCGCGACCCCGAAGTCATAATCTGTCGTAAAGTACGCGGTAGTCGCGCATTCGATGCCACGAACCTTGACACAAGGCCCCCAAGACGGTACAAGAGGCCTCCGAGGCGGCCCAAGAGTGCTCCAAGGCGCCCAAGAGCGCTCCAACAGCCGACGCTGCTTCACGACGGCGCCCAGACCTCATAACATAGCTCTTGCATGCCCCATTCTCCGAGAGAGGGGGCTGGCGGCAGGGGGCGAAGCCCCTACAGATAAGCTTGCTCCCAAGACAGCTCTCGCCCCAAGGATCCACACCTGGTGTCATAGGAACTGGAGGTGACTGCTAGATGTTCGGCTCGTGGCCACTCGTGAGCACCCTTGGTGCCCTATGGCACCCTACGGTGCCCTGTGGACCTGACGGGGGCTGACGGATGATCGGCTCGTGGCCAACCGTGGACGCCCTTGGTGCCCAACGGCTCGGTTCGCGGGCGCCCCGCGGCGCCGCGTGTGCTCTATGTCGGGCGACACTGGCGCCCTACAAAGCGTTGTTGGTGCACCAGGCGTCACATAGATTGGACTGCGTCACATAGGTTGGGCCGTACAGATTGCAAAGCATACCTACTGCGCCGCATCACGTGCACCATACACAGTGTACCACGCATATTGCACCACATATACTGGATCGCACGTACAACGTCGCAAATATTGCACGACACATTGAACCGTGTGGATTATGCCGATCAGGCTGCAAGACACAACTGCTCGTGTTGAGTGCACCCATACACACACCACCATGTATCGCACCTATATCTGCATATACATGTAGATGTGTGTATGTGTACACATGTACACATTAGCACATCAAATACATGGGCACCACGCGCACTACACCACGTTCTCCCCCCGCAGCTATGATACCACACCCAGATTGCCCCTCCCAATTTCGTCCACACGGCGCCACTGCGCGCGTGGCCTATAATTTTCACCATATAGACTGCGCCGCATCAGTTCCACCACTGATGTTGCACCAAACTGGCTACAACGGCCAATCCGCCGCCGGCCCCCTTGTGGGGCCCCCTTGTGGGGCCAACAGGCTGCGGGGATGAAGTTTCTTGTAACCTGGTCCAGTTCCAGTTTTTAGTCTCCAGCGCGATAACTGTATGCCCTGCTTCCTACTGTAAGCTGTTACTGTCCGCGCGAAGGGGGGGGGAGCCGAAAAAGCCAGCCCTGCACCGTCCCCGAATCTCGTCCTCAAAATTTCTGCGGGGCCCTGGGACACGCAGAAACTCACAAGTAAAATCCCAAGTTCGCGCCCTAAGGCCACGATCCCACCTAAATTATGGCAGAATCACGTTCCCGAGGCCAAGATCCCTCGTAAATCACATTAGGTGCCCTCCCCCCCGACGCCACGATCCCTCGCAAATTACACCAGATGTGCGCCCCCGAGGCCACGATCCTCAAAAAACCGCTCGATTCGCGTCCACGAAGCCAAGATCCCTTGCAAATGACCACGGGCTCGCGTCCCCGAGGCCACGATCTCATACAAATTATGCTGGACTCGCGTTCCCGAGGCCACGATCCCTTGGAAATTACCTAAGACTCGCTCCCCCAAAGCTCCGTTCTGTTGTCGAATACGCCAGATTCGCGTTCACGAGGCCGCGATCCCTCGCAAATCGTGCCCCCGAAGCCGCAAATTCGCGCTCCCTGGAAGAAGCCTTCGTAAATTACACCGGGCTCGCGTCCCCGAGGCCACGACCCTTTGGCGAATCACACCAGGCGCGCGTCCACCAGGCCGCGATCCTTTTGCAGACTTACGCCCCGAGGCCAGAGTCTCCCCTACATTAGTTTTGACTCGCGCCCCAGAGGCCCTAATCCAATGTCAAGTACGCTAGGCTTAAGTCAGGCGTGTCCCCCTACAGGAGGATTTTCGACGAAATGCAAAAAAAAACAAAAAAATACTCCAAAATTGTCCAACAAAAACACTCCTAAAATAATGATCGGACTATTGTTTTTCTATTTTTGAATATTCCCCCTGTAGAGGGACAGGCCCGACCTAACGCTAGGCTCGCGCCCCCGACGCCAAGACGGATACTAAATGACGCCGGGTGCGCGCCCCCGAGGCCACGATCCTTTTTTGCAAATTCTGCCAGGCTCGCGCCCCCGAGGCCACGATCCCTTTTTGAATTACTCTTAGGTCGGGCCTGTCCCACTACAGGGGGATTTTGGACGAAAACTATCAAAAAAATACTCGAGAGATGCCCAAGAATACCCCAAAAATAGTCCCCAGACTAGTTTTTGACAATTTTTGGCTATTCCCCCTGCAGAGGGACAGGCCCGACTTAGAATTACTCTAGAGTCGTTCCCTCGAGGCTCTGATCCGTTGCCCAAAAACACAAAGCGCTCGCGCCCCCGGAGCAACGATCCCCTGCAAATCACGCCAGAGTCACACCCCCGAGGCCACGATCCTTGGCAAAGTGCTCCGGGCTTGCGCCCCCGAGGCCACGATCCCCTGCAAGTGACGTCACGATTACCGGCCATCGTCCTTGCGTGAAGCTCTGATAGTGCTTCCAGTCGGCACCCAGGCATCTCAAAGTAACTCTGGCATATCCCAGCCTGATGGTCTGATAGAGAGGGGGTCGGCGCTGAGGGCGAAGCCCTCACGGACTTATGAACCACCACAGGTTGCACAACGCACACTCCCAATAGATGTTTTCCACAGCTCAGCCTGCACATCAAGAACGCCACAAACTATCCTGGCGAAGGGCCCGATCAGATGCAGCTGTAAGCACGCGTTGTGGGTACCGCTTGCAGTGGAGCTCCCTATCGGGCCATGACCCTCGTTAGGTGTGTGCGCGTGTGTGCCGAAATGGGCGGGGGGTCGCACGCGGACCATGCCACTGGGGCCTTCGGTGGAGCTCACTATGGGGCCACGATCCTCGTGAATGGTGTGCCGAAATGCGCCCATGCCGCTGGGGCCTTCGGTAGAGCTCCCTGTGGTGCCACGATCCTCGTGAGCGGTGTGCTGAAACGGGCGGGGGGACGCATTCGGACCCTGCCGCTAGAGCCTTCGGTGGAGCTCCCTATGGGGCCGCGATCCTCGTGAGCGGTGTGCCGAAATGGGCGGGGCGGGGGGACGCATTCGGACCCTGCCGCTAGAGCCTTCGGTGGAGCTCCCTATGGGGCCGCGATCCTCGTGAGCGGTGTGCCGAAGTAGGCGGGAGGACGCATGCGGACCCTGCCGCTGGGGCCCCTTCGGTGCCGAAATGGTGGACATGCGGAGAGCAGAGGCAGATATGGGAGGAGGCAGAAGGGGGAGGAGGAGTAACTGAGAAGTGGACGCGGGGCGATGTCTCCTCAAGAAACGAGGTCCCAATA